AGAGAGAGAGAGAGAGAGAACTTGATAAATAATTAATTTAAATGCAATTTTGTTTTACATTACATGTTATATAACACAATAGCGTATTCACTATACTGTGTCTGTATTAAATGCAGGCTATTGTCAACACCTATACAATACAATATACGGTAGATATTAAACAATCAATTCAATCGATTATTATGTTATAATAAAAAATAATGAAAACAACCCAAATGCTTTATTTTACAATATAAATAAATGAATTAGTTGTGCTTTTGTTCAGCGTATTTGCATTGATAACATATGTCGACACAACATATTGTATGTTAGGGCATAATGATGCCAATAGAGTATACAAACTAGCTAATAATAGTATGGCATTATTTTGTGTGATGGTTACTTTAGTTTTGGATATTATATACAATATTAGCAGTTATGATATGTGGTAATAGTTGTGCAAAGTTAGCATAATAAATAATTATGCTGAATATGTACAGTATGTATGCATATAAGTATATAACTGGGTATTTGTCTGTACAGCGACAAGAACATGGTATTTATGATTGTCATTGCTATTTATTTAGTGAATCAATAAATAGATTAAGCTGGTTGTTTTGTATTGTGCTTTTTATATTTCACTTTCTCAATATAAATGTGTAATATATGTTGTTTTTTAGTTAATTATAAAACGTTTATAACATATGTAATATGTTTACATATGGATAAAACAGACAATTATGGTTTACAATCCGTTTATATTTTCAAAAAACAGAATGTATAGTAATTTACCTAACGCAACTGAATATAAATTATTTTCATTGTTTTAATAATAATATCATTAATATTAATATCAAATATCGAAATATGAATTATAAAACTATCAAGATTTTTGAATAATTTTATTGGCAAACAAATGTACGTTTACAATGAATTAGTGAATATTATTCTTACATAGTGCAATTTATATTTATTAAATTTTTAAACGCACGATATCATTAAATTTTTTATGTGTATATTTGCGGCACTATGTTATTGTGTTGTACAGTAGACTAATGATGGTGTTTTAGACTGATTTTAATAGCCTACTAAATGGCACGATATAATGAGGGACACACACACACTTGTTTTAATACATGAATGTAAAAATCTATATAAAGTATATATAAATCTATATAAATAATCTTTATATTCTACTATTATGTATATGTGAATTAAATTTCTTGCATTAATATATTTTATTATAGTTAACACAACATTGAGTTTTGTATTGCATATGATAAGTGTGTTATGAAATAGATTTTAATAATATATTCCGATAATAATAATAACATAACAAATGAATAAATAAGGAGAGAGAGAGAGAGAGAGAGAGAGAGAGAATACATACACACAGAATATTCTGTGCCATAAAGTTGTTGTTTTTCAAAAGTATCTACAAAATTGCAATATATGTCTTATATGTGTACATAACATACACAAACAACATTTGCCTCACCACAAAGCAGTCATTATACATTATATTAGTATTTTTAAGTTATTATTAATCATATATATAGATTGTGTATCGGAAATATACGGTACACTATATGTACGTACAGTTGTGTACGGAATACCAGTCTGTATAATATTAACTACTTTAATAAAATACATTAATAATTGAATACATGGTGGATAAAAATTCATTAGCAAAATGGTATTTCCCATCAGTTATTGTTATTATTATTATTGCTGTTAATATCATGATTATTATATGAGACCCACCAGAAAAACACAAACCATAGTGAATTATGATGGTGATGTTTTTTGTTAATTAAATTTACATTAATGCTTTTTATTCCTATGCGTCGAGTGGTATATGTCTAGTAGTTTTATGTGCCGACAAGTTTTGGCTGTCATTTTTACCACAAGTATTTTAATATCTCAATCCAAAACAGTATACACTGTAGACATAGTGTACATCAAACAGTTGTCACACATATAACAAAAATTTGAAATAAAAACTTTTGTTTTGTTGTATTGAAAATAATTTGTGATTTTTTCGCTCAACAAATGTTTTAATTGCAACAAAAAAACTCATTTACGTCTGGATTTTTAAAATAATTATTTCATTGTGATAAAAACATTACTTAAATTTAATCAGCTAGAAATGTTTCGGCAATAAACACACCACCACCCGGATCAATTTACTGGGATTAATAAAATCATTATTGTAAAAATATATACAACATTATATAAGTTGTAATTACTTTTACGATAGACATTGCAATAGCGATGCATAACAGCCATAGAGAGACTGTAATACACAGCCTATTCATCAGCGATGAAATGTGGGTGAAATAAGTGTAAAGTTTTTTTAACTAGTTTTAATTGTGGGCCATAAGTGGTGGGATCACCAGTGGATCAGACCATCAGATCCTATATAATAAATAAAACTCGACATTAAAAATATATACAAATAATTAAATGATGCTATCATTGGACTCAATGAAAACCATAGCCATCACAACAATCATGTCAACTGTGGTGATGATGACCGGGGTATTAGTGAACGGCAGTCTCGGCTACCACTCGCTGGACATGGCGTGGGATCTGGTGCTCAACCACACGGCCACCGCTGGAAGTATGCCATCGCTTACCATACCGTCGATAATGGCATCGATGGCAACGGTTGGCGACGAAGTGCCGGATGTGGTGGTGATGAACACCGAGGAGGACAGGGATGGCCAACGAAAGGAGACCACCGACTCGACGTCAGCCCAACAAGTGCTGGCGATTGGCCGGGCTAGCAGTAGCTGCCGACGCCGCCAGTTGAGCAGCTGCTAACAGTAGTGTTAACTAGCGTTCTCAGAATTCCTCTCTGACTAGGCGCCGAAAGCGCGGCTGGTAGTCGGGTTAGTTGTGGTGAACAGCACCAATTGGCCGCTAATCTGTCAACAGATAATCATGTTATTAGTGGTGAAGATTTTGTTACTTTAATTGATCCCTGGGTTTAGTGGTCTCTCTATCTCTGGGATTGATTTGAATTGACTTTTAATAATTAGTTAATTATTTATTATTAGTTTTTTGTGAGTTTTTTTTTGGTGAAGACTTTTTTTCAGTGCAAATATTTTAATGATTTTTATTGAGATTTAGTTTTTAATTGTTTTTAAATTAATTATTGAATTAATTGTTTTTATTTCACGACTCGTCTCTCAATTACATATCAAGTGATTTAAAACAAAACGTTTGATTTGATTATCGCTTTTGTTTTTGCTGTGATTTCTTAATTTATTTTTATTAACTGATTATTTGTTAATTAATTGTGTTTTTAACTCAATTTTAATGACTTTTTAAAATCACTTTTAATTTTTCATAAACTTTTCAAATAAATGCAAAAATCAATGTTTAACTTATTATTGGATTTTTAATGACAAAACACTTAATCACTAATAAATTGCTGTTTAAAAATCGTATGTATTTTTCAATTAATATTAATAATGAAATTATAATTATTTCTCTACTAATAATGTATAGAAATAATCAATAATACAATTAATTAATTAAATTAAAAGTTTTAATTGATTTATTGCATGTTTGTTAGTCGTTAGGCCATCAGATGGCAAATGTTTTCTCATAGTAACTTATGTAACATATTTTTATTATTATAATATAATGTTTTATTTTATATTAAACCACACATTATATAAATTATAATATTTAGAGTACAATTAATAATTTATAAAATAAATTTCAATAGTTTTCAACACAAAAATTGCTGCAAAAAATAGTTAGGAATTTGTTAAACATATTTCAAAAACATAACTAAAAGTATTATAAACTTTTAGGTCTATGTAAAAAACAGGGTATAAATTATAGCAAACATAAAAACTAGTTTAACTTCATTATAAGGGGAGTGCAAATATAATTTCAAACTAAATTTGTAATATAACATAATTACTGTTAAAATAATAATCAAAATCATAACACAATTATCATTCATAGAAATAACACATAATTTAATAGTTATCGTAAAGTCCTATGGATTTCGTGATTTACACCATAAGCACACATATTATGTGAATATATCAAAACACTTTATTATCTAATCTATTGGTAAGTCATATGTCTCTGTATATAACATCCGATTAGACAACCCCTGTATATAATGAACAAATATGTTATATATAACACTTGTATCGTTTATAAAATAGCCCAGTGACTTATATTTATCACGTACATTACCATATTTCATTTTATATTCGCCATCATCATATTGTACAGTGTAGATTATTATTATTAATTAAACAAAATTGACATTTTTAATTTCACCATAATTACTGTAACTCATACGTTTAAAACAACTTAAAGTAAGATATTGTGTACAATAAATACAAAGCATGTATTATTATATTTTGCACATTAATTGAGTGCCCATTACTTGATGTCCCTGTAATTCAAGCGATTATGATATGATATAATTAACTATAATTTTTGTTTTTTCATTCAATTATTTATTAACATTTTTTGTTATTACGATATAAATGAAAGAAAATGATTGAGAAATTTCCTCTCAATTAGTTTATTATATAATATAAGTGCAGTTAATATACAGTACAGTACAGTGTATGCGATAAAAACAGTACACTATTGGTTACATACATGTATATAGCGAGAGAGTTAAGTAATATATTAACTGTTATAATAAAGTGAAGTATGTCTTGATATATAAATTGTTTTGTCATTGAATGAGAAATGTTATAATAAAGTGAAGTATGTCTTGATATATAAATTGTTTTGTCATTGAATGAGAGAGAGAGAGAGAGAGAGAGAGAGAAAGAGAGAGAGAAATTATTTTTATAAGTTATATAACTATATATTGAAAGAACATTGACTTCGGAAAAGGCTATTAAATACTAGCGATTCTGTGATATAATACTTATATAAAACACATATATTTATTATAGACTTATATACACGTATATATACTGTATAATCATATAAGTATAAGAGGCGTATAATTTGTTTTATTGGGATTGATTTTCATCGCCTGTCAACACATTATACTTTTGTTTGTGAATTATTATTATTAGTTATGCTATAACTATAGCCTATTATAGCAAACAATTTATAATATAATATCAAATTTTATAATTCATAGAATAAAGCAGTATAAATATATACATTTATATATGCAATATAAGTAATAAATATACTTTTTTATCGTGATTAGTATTTGCAAAAAAAAAATTTAGTTATCAATCGGCACCAAAACACATATATGTAAAAACGCATACAATGTCTGAACAAAGTGACCAAAAACGACAACAATTATTGGATAACCTCTTTCATTGTCGAGATGTGAATGAAACTAAAGATTTTTACGCCAAATGGGCCAATGATTACGAGGAGGTACGTGTTTCTAGTTTTTTACATTACCCTGTTATAGTTTCGACTATTCCTACCATTTAAATTATTTTTATTTATGCTAATATTGGTGTTTGCATTATTATGTTACAAGTTTATATGGCAATAATTTAAATCAATTCAGTAGTAATATTATTAATTTCGTAATATGAAATGACATGTTGCAAATTCAATACTACAACAATATCTTACAGTATACATGTATTTATGCCAACTAACCTATCTGTATTATTTACCCCGAAAAATTATCTAGGACATACGTGACATGGAGTACAACGGCGCTCAGATTGTGGTAAAATGTTTCCTAGAGCTAAACTGTCCACTAGATTGTCGTATACTGGACATAGGGGCGGGCACCGGGGTAATTGGGACTTTATTGAAAAAACACGGCTACACTAACATAGATGGTTTGGACGCGTCACCAAAAATGCTCGAGATAGCCCGAGAGAAAGATTGTTACGTGAACCTGATCAATTCAATTGTGGCCAACAATATACGATTGCCTATCGATAGTAAAAGCTATGATGTGGTGATAATGGCCGGTGTGTTTTGTCCGGGTCATATCAGCGTAGATGCTTTTAATGAGATTTTACGTGTTACTAAGCCAGGTATGTTATTTGATATACTTTTGCTATTAGTTTATATTTTGTATGAGGTGATCATGGTTGGTTTTGTCACGTTTGTTAAGTAGTATAGCGTGATTTTTTATGGTAGTTAGATAAGCCTGGTCGTTTTGGTCGTAAAATAAGATAAATGTCATTTTTATCGGGTTTAATAAGCCTATTGTGATAATTGAGTTAATCATTAAATGAATGTATTATAAAGGGTATAGTGTTTAAAAATAGTTAACATCATTTTGTGTTAACTATGCTATTTTATTTCATGCATAAAATAATTAGATGGTCATTTTAGTCAATTTAGCATAATAAATAAATAAATTAAACTAGATTATTAATAAATATTAATTTCATATCAAACTAGATTATACACAAGCTAAATGAGCATATAACTTATATTACATGTCATAAAGTATACCAGTATATGTATGAAACACAATGCTAATTATTTTAAATTGCTTGCCTAAATATACTGTCTATTAAATAAATAAGAATATTACTATTTTTAACGAATACAATCTGGATGATTTAGGCGGTACGATATGCTGGGCAATGGGTGTGGAGAAAACGTACGTAGACTATGACGACCAGTACAGAGACGGCCAGTTTGAACGGGCAATCGTCACACTCTGTGACCGATTGAAATGGCTTTCAATACTCGGTTACCCGAAACGAGTGGACAATTATTTGCACGGAAAGGACGGCTGGTTTCACGCCATGCAAGTCATATAGAGTGACCACGTTTTGGCAATTATTGTTTTATTTTGAACTAGGAGTTTTTAAAAAAAATATATTAATTATGGTAATTATTGATTAAACTTTATATGGTTTTTATTAACATATTAATTGTCCAATTTTTATTAAATTTATAATAAATCTTGTTAATTATTTTATAAATAATTTTTTGATAATAAAGTTATAACATTATTAATGTATTAACTCTCTCTCTCTCCTTCACACTGTAGGATTTAACATGGAATACCATGTTAATCCTATGGCTATATGTTAACATTGGGAAACTATCATAAGATAAAATGGGGAACACTTTTTCTATGGGAAAATGCTTTTAAATGTGTTTTTATGGCTTAAGTCTTTGACTACACCTTAACATGGATAGTGCTAAGCCTATGGACAATGTTAACTCTATGAGACTAATGCTAATTCTAAAGACAATGCTAACTCTATTGGATTCTTATTAAACTATTGGACAATGCAAATTTATTCTTTGAACATCACCCTAAATGTGGTTAACGTATAGCAAACCAAGTTATCAATATAGACTTTGTTTAAAACAGTTAATTATATATCGGTTGACATTTAAAATACTCATAATTAATTTAATAAATTATTTAAGTCACAACGCTTTAATCTAATAATTAAGTGTTTTGTTTTCAATTAAATATTTAAATAGATAAATGGTAAAAATATAATTAAATATATTGAATATCTCAATAATTATAAAACCACTTATACTTTAGTGAAATTGATTTCACTTTTGATTACATTTATCATTGTTTTAAATGTCAACTTATATTATTTTTATATAAATAAGTGCATTGTTCAAATAGTTTTAATACAATTTATAATATAATAACTTATATAATAATAATGAAGCAAATATTATGTGAGTATTAAATGTAAATTTTTATACTAAAATTTAATAAAATTTCAAATGCAAGATTGTTTCAATTAAATTATTTGGTATTTATGAAATTAAATATCATAATAACCTAGGTGTAATATTTAAATTATTAATTTGGTTTTATTGTATCTTAATGTTTTTAAAAATATGATTTTAGTATTTGGTTAGTTTGAGTCATTTTGAGTTATTTTTAGTCTGAGTTGTTGTTATTGTCTAAAACTTTCATAAATGTGACTTATTATACAATCACTATTTGTTTAAAATAATTTAATATTAATGAAATATTTACATATTTTTAAGATTTAATCTGGCTGTTTGTACTCAACCAAAATGTCGCTACAATTACATGCGAGTGTCCGGACCCGAGCGTAATACTACCCTATGGTTGTACGGGTTGTCAATACAATTATATAGAATGTTACGGAGACAATGATTTTGATCTGGCTGAAATGTTTAACAAATTAAGTTTAACCCTAGAACCGGAACAGAAACATTTTCATCGTTTTAAATTCAACAACACTAAAGTGACTGAAATAAAAGCCAACACTTTCATGGATATTGTATTTGTGGAGATTGAGTTCAGCGATTCAAACCTAATTCGCATACACCCTGATGCATTTATGAATACCTACAACACTACAAACACACTCTCAATTAAATATAACCCCCTATTGGAGCCTGATACATTATACGATGTGATGAGTAAATTTACCAACGCTAGATATATTAATGAGATGGGTAATGACAAGTTTACCATGATGCCCGCAAACGCTTTCTCCAACATTAAACAGTCAAAATTACAAGTACTGGATATCTATTCATTTGAGACAACTATAGGCAGTCATGCAATCAATAGTTTATATTCATTGCGAACCTTTATGTTCGGTACACACGTCAACCATATAATGGCCAATGCATTCGCTATCGACAAACCCAGTAATGATTCCTTATATATTAGTCTTAGTCTTTGTTATTTAAACGAAACAAGTTTTGAACCTGGTTCTCTTACCGGCATAAACCGACCCACAAAAATTAACATGCAACATCAATATACAAATATAGTTTACTTACCTCAAAAAGTGTTTCAACCGTTTTATATGGAAAACGAGTTAAATACTATTGATTTTAGCGGTAATAAGGGTTTCGATTGTCAAGACTGTCGGTCCAATTGGTTAAAGAAAGACGATTTGTATAAACGTGTTAATTTACCATGCTCTGATGGTAAACCATTTGATGATCCAGCACATTTCAAAGAGTGTAACCAGTTTGTTGAAGCCAATTAAAACTGTTTAGTTGATTGTTAATTATATTTCAAAGATTTACATAATTATAATTAATTAAATTAGATTTATTATGGTTATATCAATTCATTTTCAAATAAACAATAAAGTTTGCTACAGACTAATTCTTATCCTAAAAACAATGTTAATTCTATGGGATCCATATTTAATTAGCGAGTAATGCTGATTTATTTTTTGAACATCACTAGAATTGTGGTTAACTTAACAAAGTTATTAATATAGACATTGTTTAGAACAATTCATTATATTTTTGTTGACATTTAAAATAATCTTATTCATTTAATTAATGATTTAAGTCACACCGCTTTAATCCAATAAATAAATATTTTGCTTTCAATTAAGATATTTAAATAGATATTAATAAAATTTATTTAATATATCAATAATTATTAAAAACACTTATACGTTACTGAAATTGATTTGACTTTTGATTGCATTTATCATGGTTTTAAATGTCAACTAATATCATTTTTGTTAAAATAAGTAATATTACATTGTTTAAAAAGTTTTAATACAATTTATACTGTAATAACATATACATTATATTATAATAATGAAGCAAATATTATGTGAGTATTAAATAAGCTAACGCGGTTAAGATCATACGATATTGTATATTGTAAGAAAATTATATATTATGCTTAAAATTTAGTTTATAAATGTTATAATTACAAATGATTTTAATAATTAATAACAAAAGTAAAACTAATCAATGGAAAGAAATATAAGAAAATGACAAATATAAAATATTTCAAATTGATTTTCTTGTTATAAAATACTTGACATTTAAACTAATGATTCAAAATATTTAATCAATAATTTAATTCCTACACAAATAAATGTTTTCAATTTAAAAGATATTGATAAAAATAATTATGTTTAATACCTTAATCTAATCGTATCTGAGGGTAAATCTAAGGTAAATATTTGTAATGTTATTTATACTCTAGTGGTAAACTGTTTAACGTTTATAATGATTAATATGTTAAAATAATCAAGGTGAGACATTGATTACGTCCCATTATGAACAGGGTGAGAGACGACTAGCCTTAAATGATTCAGACTTTGATGCACTCAAATGGGATTTCTTTAATTAATTGGTTTTTAAGATATTTATAAGTTATCGAAATTTATATTCACATACAGTTAACTCTATATAAATATAACTTTATATAATATAAGTTAAATATTAAATGTTACTTTAATAAATAAAATAAATTATAAAACATTATTAATAAAATTTTAAATACATGTTTTAAAATCTAATTCCAAATAATATAACTGTATTTTTTTAAATAATTAGAGTTTTAAATATATAATATGTAAAGATATAATCATATGAATTGGAAAAACACTTATAAGAATGAAATTGATTTAATTTACGATTACATTTGTTATTAATTTTGTGTTATATATAAATAAGCGTAAATTCGAAATGTTTTATTAAATTTTTATAATATTTTTCGTTTATATGCTGTTTTTATTGTAAGTTTATAATATTATAAACATTATGAAGCTAGTATTATGTGAGTAGTTTTATTTAATATTGTAGTATATTATTTTGTATAGTATTAACCTTAATGTTAAAATTCTTTGATTCGTCTTTTATTGTATTAAATATTGTTTAATAAATAAAATATGTAATTTATATTAAAGTTATTTATTTATTTCTAAGATTTAACCTGGATTATTTTGATAAAAATCCGATTGATAACCAGCGCGTGTCCGGACCCGAGTGTAATCACACCCTATGGCTGTACGGGTTGTCAATACAATTACATTGAATGCTATGGAAACACAAGCATTGATTTGACCGAAATGTTTAACAAACTTAGCCTAACTCTGGAACCGGAAGAAAAACATTTTCACCATTTTAAATTAAACAATACTAATGTGACTGAACTAAAGGCCAACACTTTTATGGATATTGTATTTAATGAAATTGAAATTACAAAAACAAATCTGCTCCATATCCACCCTGATGCATTTATGTATACCTACAACATTACAACTAACCTCAGACTAACATATAATGCCTTATTGGAGCCTGATACAATATACGATGTAATAAACAAATTTATCAACGCATATGACATTAGTGTACACTATAATGACAAGTTGACCACGGTGCCAGCAAATGCATTTCATAACCCCGAGCAATCAAAACTATACACTCTGTATTTCAGTGGTGATATAACATCTATAGGTAGTCATGCGTTCAGTGCTTTACATTCATTGAAAGATCTTTCTATTTTTAATTCTGCTCTAAACCATATAATAGCGAATACGTTCGCAATGGACGCACCCAGTAATGAATCGCTTGACATTTATCTCTCTTGTGATTATTTACATGAAACAAGCTTTGAGCCTGGTGCTTTCACTGGCATAAATCGGCCCACAAACCTTATTTTAAATATTAATAATAGCAAATCAAAACATTTAACATATTTGTCCGAGAAAGTTTTTCATCCCTTTTATATGGAAAATACTTTAAATACTATTGATTTTTCGAATAATAATGAATTTGATTGCCAGGACTGTCGCTCGTATTGGCTCAAACAGAATGATTTATTAAAGCGAGCGTTTCATTTGAAATGTTCGGATGGTAAAGAAATTGATGCACCAGGGCATTTCCAATATTGTTGATTATTTATGAAATAAATATGTTGATAATAAACATGAATAAAAATATCATTAATTACTATTAACTTATTATTTACTTATTCCTTATAATTATTTAATTTATATATAATTATTATTTTGTGATGCAAAACATACTTTTCGTGTAGTTGAATTTATTGAATTGAATTTATTGATATTTAATGACCCTGCTCATTCAGCATAACTGATCTTCCATGAGGGGGTAATGTAAAAGTATAGCATAGTTTTATAATAAATTATTTATAAACTTAATATTATTAAATTAGATCTGATTTCATATAAACAAAGAATATAAAAAATACTTATCTGTAAATAAGGGATTTAATGTTGATAACATTTATCATTATTTTAAATGTCAATTATTAAAATATAAATACGTATACAATAGAAAAGTTTTTGTGATGTTATTTATTATATTTTATGTAGTAATAAAATAAGTATTTTCATAATAAAATAATGAAGCAAATATTATGGGAGAATTTATTGTACATAACTATTTAATACAGTACATTGTTACAACTTAAAATTCAGCCTAACTTTTATGAGATTTATGAGAAATAGAGTCGAAAGCATCTGAAAGGTCGAGAAAAATAATATCAATTCCTATTATGTTGTCATTAAAAGCATTAAATATACCTTTCTGCAACTTTGTATGTAAATGGTGTGATGTGAATGGTGTGAAATGTAAAAAGTGGTTTAAACATTTTCCCATACGATAACCATATTGAGCCGGGTATAATATTATTATATGTAATAAATGGCAGTAATTTAGTTAACACTCTGTATATGTTTTGCTGAACAGATATACATCGATATGATGTGAATTCGTGTTTGTTTTTGTTTGCCTTTAGAACCGGACTTACAATTGATTTCATTATTTGTTTTGGAAAACACTTCATAATATTTATAATGTTAGTTTAATTAATCTGGACATTTAGTTTAATTCATTAAATAAATAATTTAAGTCACATTGTTTAATTTAATAAATAAGTGTTTTGCTTTCAATTATATGTTTAAAAGGATATTAGTAAAAATATAAGTAAATATATTTAATATCGCAATAGTTATAAAAACAATTATCCGGTAATGAAATTGATTTCACTTTTGATTACATTTATCATTGTTTTTAATATCCATTTATATTACTTTTATATAAATAAGTGCATGTTCAAATATAGACACCAATATTTACACGAATCCTTTTATGTGATAAAAATTTATTCATTTATGGTATAAATCTATTTAATTCATTGCGGTCTTCTGTCAGGTCTCACTATTTTGAGAGAAATTTTATAACCATTTGTGAGAAATATTTTATTGAAAATTTTATGTCAAATTGATTGTAAACATTAACAAATTATTGTATTTTAATCTACGAGTTTTGATTGAATAAATTATTGTTATTATTATAAATAGTATTAATACAAATTATAACGTAATTACTTATATAATAATAATGAAGCAAATATTATGTGAGTATTAAATGTAAAATTTTATACTTAAATTATTTGATGTTATAAAACTAAACCTCATAATAACCTAGGTGTAATATTTAAATTATTAATTTGGTTATATTGTAACTTTATTGTAGTTTATGGTTTTTAAATATGATTTTAGTTGTTGTTTAGTTTGAGTCTCTTTTGAGTTATTCTTACAAGTTATTAGTCAATAGTAAAATAGTTTGAGCTGTTGCTATTGTCTAAAATTTTCATAAATATTATTTATTATACAATTACTATTTGTTTAAATAATATAATTTTTAATAAAATATTTATACATTTTAAGATTTAACCTGGCTCATTGTACTCAACCAAAATGTCAGGATAATTACGTGCGAGTGTCCGGATCCGAGCGTAATACTACCCTATGGTTGTACGGGTTGTCAATACAATTATATAGAATGTTACGGAGACAATGATTTTGACCTGGCTCAAATGTTTAAAAAATTAAGCCAAACCCTAGAACCGGAACAAAAACATTTTCATCGTTTTAAATTTAGCAACACTAAAGTGACTGAAATAAAGGCAAACACTTTCATGGATATTGTATTTGTGGAGATTTATATCGACAATTCAAACCTAATTCACATCCACCCTGATGCATTTATGGATACCTACAGCACTACCGACACACTCTATATTAAAAATAACCCCCAATTGGAACCTGATACAATATACGATGTGATGAGCAAATTTACCAACGCTACATTCATTGAGGAGTATCATAATGCCAAGTTCACCATGATGCCCGCAAACGCTTTCTCAAACAGTAAACAATCAAAATTAAAACGATTGCATATCTGGTCGTCGGAGACAACTATAGGCAGTCATGCAATCAATCGTTTATATTCATTGCGAGACATTATGTTCGGCGCTCCCGTCAACCATATAATGGTCAATGCATTCGCTATCGATAGACCCATTAATGACTCTCTAGATATTAATCTTAATTATTGTTGGTTAAACGAAACAAGCTTTGAACCTGGTTCTCTTACCGGTATAAATCGACCCACTGCAATTTACATGGGAAATCAACATACAAATATTGTTTATTTATCTCAAAAAGTGTTTCATCCGTTTTATATGGAGAACGAGTTAAATACTATTGATTTTAAGGGTACTAAAGGTTTCGATTGTCAGGACTGTCGGTCATATTGGTTAATAAAAGACAACTTGTTTAAACGTGTTAATTTACCATGCTTTAATGGTAAACCATTTGATGATCCAACACATTTCCGAGAATGTAACAAGTTTGTTGAAGAGAATTAACATTGTGTAATTATTAGATTGTTAATTTTAATTCTAATAAAATTAATACAATTATTATATTTACAATTTATTATTAATACTTATAATTATGGTTTAATTAACCGTAATGATGACTCTTATAAAATATATTTAATATTTAATTACATATAGGTTTGCTAACTTTTAGATATTGCGTTGAAAATTATGTATCATAACAAAATATAGCTATACTAAATTATATGGATAGTGGATATTAAATAACAATATTATACCTGAACATTTTAAATAAAAATTCCAATGAATTTAATTTATAATATAATTTCTACGTAACTAAACGTTTAAGTGTTTTGTTTATAATTAAAATATCTAAAGAGATATTTATTATTAATTACGTTAAATATTATCTATAAATTAAAGTTTTAACTAAATTAAAAACACTTATAAGTAAATTAAATTGAGTCAATATTAGATTACATTTATCACTAATTTCAATGTCAAATATATTTATTCTTTCATAAATAATTTATTTAAAATAAACATAAAACTCAAAACAACTTAATAGGGTTTATAAAGTAATTGTTTAAATATTATAACAATGAAACAAATACTATGTGAGTATTAAAAGTAACATAATATAATGCAGTATAAACATAATATAACAATAGCAATAATATAAAAAATACAATCTCATATAACCTTGCTTAACTAATAATATTAATTAAGTTATTATTTTGTTTCGTTGTTTAATTTTTTAAAAGTATTAAATTAGGTTAAGTAACTTTTAGTAAGTTGTTGTTATTGCTTAAATGTGTTGTATGTAAAGCCTTTATATAATATATATAGTATTAGTATATAAATTTTTGTTACAATTGTATAAATGTCTTATTTAATTATTAAAAAGAATCTACATATATTTTTAGATTTAATCTGGCTGTTTGTACTCAACCAAAATGTCGGTACAATTAAGTGCGAGTGTCCGGACCCGAGTGTAATACTACCCTATGATTGTACGGGTTGTCAATATAATTATATAGAATGTTACGGAGATAATGATTTTGACCTGGCTGAAATGTTTAATAAATTAAGTTTAACCCTAGAACCGAAGCAAAAACATTTTCACCGTTTTAAATTCAACAACACTAAAGTGACTGAAATAAATGCCAACACTTTTATGGATATTGTATTTGTGGAGATTGAGTTCAGCGATTCAAACCTAATTCACATCCACCCTGATGCATTTATGTATACCTACAAGACTACAAACACACTCACAATTAATTATAACTCCCAATTGGAGCCTGATACAATATACAATGTTATGAGTAAATTTACCAACGCTACACTTATTGATGAGATGTATAATGCCAAGTTCACCATGATGCCCGCAAACGCTTTCTCCAACGTTAAACAATCAAATTTACAGGAATTATGGATCTATTCGTTTGAGACAACTATAGGGAGTCATGCAATCAGTAGTTTATATTCATTGCGAACCATTATTTTCTATTCTCACGTCAACCATATAATGGCCAATGCATTCGCTATCGACAGACCCAGTAATTACTCCTTATATATTGATTTTAGCTTTAGTCGTTTAAACGAAACCAGCTTTGACCCTGGTTCTCTTACCGGCATAAATCGACCCACAACTATTGGAATGCAATATCAAAAAACAAATATCGTTTATTTGCCTGAAAAAGTGTTTTATCCGTTTTATATGGAAAATAAGTTAAATACTATTGATTTTAGCGGTAATAAGGGTTTCGATTGTCAGAACTGTCGGTCCAATTGGTTAAAGAAAGACGATTTGTTTAAACGTGTTAATTTACCATGCTCAGATGGTATACCATTTGATGATCCAACACATTTCAAATGGTGCAACCAGTTTAATGAAGACAATTAAAACTATTTAAAACTTAATTTCGAATTTAAAAGTTAATTAAATTTCGAAAATTTAAACAATTATCACTAATTACACTTATTATGCTTATATTAATTAATTTTCAAATAAACAATTTTGCTACAAACTAATCCTAATCCTAACAATGTAGGAATAATGCTAATTCTATGGGATCCATATTTAATTAACAAAATAATGATAATTTATTCTTTGAACATCACCCGAATTGTGGTTATCTTAACAAGGTTATTAAGACAGACTTTGTTTAAAGCAATTTATTATATTTTTGTTGACATTTAAACTAATTAAAAATCACTAAATAAATTTAAGTTATCACCTCTTTAATCAAATAAATGTTTTGCTTTCAATTACGATATTTAAATAAATATTAATAAAATTAAAATTAAATATATTTAATATCTCAATAATTATAAAACACTTATACGTGAGTGAAATTGATTTTAATTTTGATTGCAGTTATAATTGTTTTAAATGTCAACTTATATTATTTTCATTTAAATAAGGACATTGTTTACAGAGTTTTAATACAATTTATAACGTAATAACTTATATACAACAATAATAATGAAGCAAGCACTATGTGAGTATCAAATAAACTAAAACGCCTAAGATCATACAATATTGCAAGAAAATTATATATTATGTTACAAATCTACTGTAGTTTTAAAATGTTATGATTACAAATGATTTTAATAATTAATAAAACCCTTGTTAATTTTATGGTATAATACAAATAAAACTAATAAATAGAACGAAATAAAAGAAAGAGACAAATATACAGCCCAATATTAAAGCCCTAGTCATATTTTGTAAAGTCCTTTAATATGTGATCAAACTATGTAATATATTGCTTCTATAATTATTACTATTGATTTCAAATTAATTTTTTTGCTATAAACTACTTGACATTTAAACTAATGATTCAAAATATTTAATCAATAATTTAATTTCTACACAAATAAGTGTTTTCAATTAAAAAGATATTGATAAAAATAATTATATTTAATACCTTAAGTAATATCAGTTAGACTTTGCACTTTGCACGATGCACTCTAATTGGATTTCTTTAATTAATATGTTTTAATTAAGATATTTATAAGTTATCGACATTTATATTAACATACAGTTACCTCTCTGTATATATAAATTTATAAATGAGTTTTAATTAAACTTTAAATATTAATTTAATAAATAAAATAAATTATAAAACATTATTAATAAATCTAATTCCGAAAAATATAACCGTAATTTTAAAATAGTTATAGTTAGAGATATACAGTATAAATCTAAAGATATAATCGTATGAATTAAAAAAACACTCATAAGAATGAAATTGATTTAATTTACGATTACACTTGCCATTTATTTTATGTTATATATAAATAAGCATAAATTCGAAATGTTTTATTAGATTTTTATAACACCTTTCGTTTATGTTGTTCTAATTATAACATTATTATTTAAACATTATAATATTATAAACAGAATGAGGCTAGTATTATGTAAGTAGTTTTAATAAAGTTGTTGTATAGTCAACTTTATTGTACAACTAATTTTAAAATTTATTGATTTGTCTCTTATTGTATTAAATATTGTTTAATAAATACAAAGTGTAATTTATATTAAAGTTATTTATTTATTTCTAAGATTTAACCTGGATTATTGTGTTAAATGAAAATGTCCGATTGATAACCAGCGCGTGTCCGGACCCGAGCGTAATCACACCCTATGGCTGTACGGGTTGTCAATACAATTACATAGAATGTTATGGAAACACAAGCATTGATTTGACGGAAATGTTTAACAAACTTAGCCTAACTCTAAAACCGGAAGAAAAACATTTTGACCATTTTAAATTAAACAATACAAATGTGAATGAACTAATGGCCGACACATTCATGGATATTGTATTCAATGAAATTGAAATTAGCCACACAAATCTGATCCATATCCATCCTGATGCATTTATGTATACATACAATATTACAACTAAACTCAGCATAACAGATAATGCTTTATTGGAGCTTGGTACAATATACGATGTGATGAATAAATTTATCAACGCATATGAGATTTCAATATGGAATGATGACAAGTTGACCATGGTGCCAGCAAATGCATTTCATAACCCCGAGCAATCAAAACTGTATAGACTGTATTACAGTGAGTGTGTAACATCTATAGGCAGTCATGCGTTCAGTGGTTTACATTCATTGAAAAATCTTTATATCTTTAACTCTCCCCTAAACCATATTATAGCAAATACGTTCGCAATGGACGCACCCAGTAATGAATCACTTGACATTTACCTCTCGTCTGATTATTTACATGAAACAAGCTTTGAGCCTGGTGCTTTCACTGGTATAAATCGACCCACACACATTTATTTAGGACCTCAAAATAGCAAATCACTCTATTTAACATATTTGCCCGAGAAGGTTTTTCATCCCTTTTATATGGAAAATACTTTAAATACTATTAATTTTTGGGGTAATAATGAACTCGATTGTGAGGACTGTCGCTCGTATTGGCTCAAACAGAATGATTTATTAAAGCGAGTGCTTAATTTAAAATGTTCGGATGGTAAAGACATTGATGCACCAGGGCATTTTCAGTATTGTTGATTATTGATGAAATGAATATGTTGATTTAATAATAAACACGAATAAAAATATCATGAATTAATTACTATTACATTATTTATTATTTATTTATTATTATTATTTACAATATTATTATCTGTAATGTTCGATGGTTTCATCTAATCGTAAAGTATATTTTAGTATCATTTTTAGCGCTTAGATACATTGTCAGTATTTATACATCCCGTTTTAGCTTAATTCATTAAATAAATAATTTAAGTCACATTGTTCATCTAATAAATAAGTGTTTTGCTTTCAATTATAGTATGTAAATAGGATATTAGTAAAAATATACCGGTAAGTAAATATATTTAATATTGCAATAGTTATAAAAACATTTATCAGGTAATAAAATTGATTACACTTTTGTTTACATTTCTCATTGTTTTAATTGTCAACATATATTATTTTTGTATAAATAAGTGAAATGTTTAAATAGTTTTAATACAATTTATAACGTAATAACTTATATAATAATAATGAAGCAAATATTATGTGAGTATTAAATGTAAAATTTTATACTAAAATTATTTGATGTTATAAAACTAAACCTCATAATAACCTCGGTGTAATATTTAAATTATTAATTTGGTTTTATTGTAACTTTATTGTAGTTTATGGTTTTTTAAAATATGATTTTAGTGGTTGTTTAGTTTGAGTCTCTTTTGAGTTATTCTTACAAGTTATTAATCATTAGTCAATAGTAAAATAGTTTGAGTTGTTATTGTCTAAAATTTTTCATAAATATGATTTATTATACTCTTACTATTTGTTTAAAATAATTTTAATAAAATATTTATATGTTTTTAGATTTAATCATGATGTTTGTACTCAACCAAAATGTCCGAATCATTACGTGCGAGTGTCCGGACCCGAGCGTAATACTACCCTATGGTTGTACGGGTTGTCAATACAATTATATAGAATGTTACGGAGACAATGATTTTGACCTGGCTGAAATGTTCAAAAAATTAAGCCAAACCCTAGAACCGGAACAAAAACATTTTCATCGTTTTAAATTTAGCAACACTAACGTGACTGAAATAAAGGCCAACACTTTCATGGATATTGTATTTTCACAAATTGAGATTAGCTACACAAATTTGGTCCATATTCACCCTGATGCATTTATGTATACCTACAACACTACGGACACACTCTATATTAAAAATAACCCCCAATTGGAGCCTGATACAATATACGATGTGATGAGCAGATTTACCAACGCTACATTTATTGAGGATTATCATAATGCCAAGTTCACCATGATGCCCGCAAACGCTTTCTCCAACAGTAAACAATCAAAATTAAAACGATTGCATATCTGGTCGTCGGAGACAACTATAGGCAGTCATGCAATCAATAGGTTATATTCATTGCGAGACATTATGTTCGGCGCTCCCGTCAACCATATAATGGCCAATGCATTCACTATCGACAGACCCAGTAATGACTCATTAGATATTAATCTTAATTATTGTTGGTTAAACGAAACAAGCTTTGAACCTGGTTCTCTTACCGGTATAAATCGACCCACTGCAATTTACATGGGAAATCAACATACAAATATTGTTTATTTATCTCA